ATGTAAGAAAAACAATAGATGATTTAAAAAAAGTGATGAAAAATTTTGAATCCAGAGTTGAATTCACAGAAGATTTGCAGAAAATGAGTGATGTGAGTATTTGTTTTCAGTCTTCTATTTTTTTAGAAACATTTTTATATTGAAAAATATCTTAGATCTCAGGAGCAGATCACTCCAAGTTTCAAATGCTTTCAGACGTCTTTCTTAGCTTGTATGATTGCTCTTATAATCCTTTTAATAGATTGAGGATTCGAATTGTTAATGTGCCCTTTTTTTTGTTTTAAAAATTAGGCTGCAGGTGATATTGTAGACATAAGAGAAGAAATTAAAAGTGACTTTGAATTTAAAGGTAAGCCATACGATTGTTTTACGAATAGTTATTTAAGCATTTGCCATTCATGTTGATTTTTCAAGGAGTCTTCTGTGAGATATTTGGGATTCTATTATATGATACTTTTTAATTCATAAAATGCAAACATTTATTCCATTTATCCATTAATTTTTACAATTTTGATATAGAATTGTTATATATTTTAAATATAAAACAATGAATAAATAACTTTTTGATGAAAATTCTGATTTCTGTCTGATCTATGTAAGTGGTGAGATTACATGGCTTTCTTCAGAGTTCTTTACTGGTCCAAATGTCTAAAACTCAGAAGATGCGATCTATACGTGGATCTTCTCCTAATTTGATATTTGACCTTGGTCGAGTCATAATATATCTTTTGCTAGTTCTTTTCCTTTTAAAACTGTAGCTTTAGATACTGTTTTTGGGAGAAAGAATGAACATAGCTAAGCGTATTTTAGCCATTCATTTTATGTTGCCCACAGTAGTGTTCCATACAAAGGTTGTTCCTGGGTTCATCTCCCAGCTGTCTTTTGCCAAGGACAGGTTATGTTTTTGGGTTTACTTCTAAAAGGCAATGGTTCCCCTGTCAGTTGTAAAGTATTACAGTAGTGAATATTTTAAAAGATTATGGAAATGGTTTATGATTTCCCACTGTAGAAAACTGTTACTTTTAGCATTTATTTTGATTTTAAATTTCATATTTTAGTAATTATCTGAAGAGAGCGTATTGGTTGAAATAGAGATAATTTTAGGAGCCAGTTCTAGCGGTTCTATCTCTACTGTCATGTCTTCACAGGTGATAGCAAGTGGCTTTAGAAGGTGAAATAAAAGAGACATATATTAAAGAGCAGAAAGACAAGTTATGGTTTTTGTTTGTGGTGACCAGTGAAAGATTTATGTATTTTACAGGTCTGAAACATAAAACTTGGTAATACTTTTTATCAATAATAGTTACAGAGAGTAGGCTAGGAAACATAATTTTGATGTTTTCAAATTTAGAAAACAGTGATGTAAATTTGAATATCTGGTGGAGGTCATCTGTTAGTACCATGTCTCATAACAGCATTTTAGACTTCTTCCCATTGCGTTCTTCAAAGGTTCAGTTTGCTTTGTAAAAAACCCTAGCTTTTCAAATGAAAAGCAGATAGGTTTGAATTCAGATTTTATTCGTCTCCTGCCCTCACATGAGGATTACATATAAGATAAAGCAATTTAAAAAGTGGAAGTGTTCATATAAAACATTATAGTAGAACTTTCCAGGAATTAGCCTTTGTAGATTAGCCTCTGTGTGGTGATGCCTTAGAGTTGAGAGTATCCTGTGACAAGGCTTTGATGTGTTACTTTAGTATGTGAATTTTCTGGAGTAAGGATGGAAGGTGGGTATTACTTGTGTTGAAATTTACGTTGTAACTGGGGTGCATTATGACCATTTCTGTGTATGCATTTTTGAAGCTCTCCAGCAGCTCTTCACAATCTTTAGTGCGTGTATGAATCCTCTGGGGTTTTTGTTAAAATGCAGATTCTGATTCAGCAGGTCTGGGAAGGCCCTACACTTCTGAAGTGTTCTCCAGGGATGTCGGTGCTGCTGGTCCTTGGACCACACTTTGAGTAGCAAGATTCTAAGAGATGCGCATCCTTGGAGTTCTCCTGTTTGGCTTAAAAATCATGCCCCCCCTGTGTCTCAGCATCTTCCTCATCTCAAAAGAAAGTCTCACTAAGTCTAGGTTTGTGCCTTTTTAAAGTTGCCTATTGACAGCCGTGTCTTTCCTTTTTTAAAAAATAGCAAAACACCGAATTGCTCATAAACCTCACTCCAAACCAAAAACTTCAGATATTTTTGAAGCAGATTTTGCAAATGCTGTAAAATCCAAGGATTTGCTTGCTGATGAGGAACTGTGGGCTCGACTTGAAGAACTAGAGGAACGAGAAGAATTGCTGGGTGAACTTGATAGGTACCTAATGGCAAATTATCTTTCCGAGAGAATTTGTTTCTATACACATTTCCTTATTGATCTCTGTCCTCATTAACAAAATAAAATGTGCTCATTGAAGAAAATACAGAAAAGCAATTAAAATATCAATAATCCTACCACCCTAAAATAAGTATTAATTCTCTGGAATGTTTTCTTTTAGGGCTGTGTTCATGCACATGCCCATACATGCGTATGTACAGAAATACTTAAAATCAATATTCTTATTTTTTTGATTATAATAGTTCAGCCATATTTTATATAGTGAATTACTAAGATATACCAGATAATCGATTTACAATAATTATGGATGTTTTATATATTACATTTTAAGTGAAGTATTTTTATACTACAGTCAGGAGAACACTGTATGTTTGAATGACTTGTTAAAAAGAAAAATTTGCTTTGAATTTGTTTGTTCCAAAAAAGTGTTTATCGTTGCTTTCTTTGCAAACTTTTCTGTTTATTGAGCAGGCAATTTGTAATCTGGTCAGCTAGTTACATATATGAAAAACTTTACCAAACTGCTGTTTGAAATACACAGTAGCGCTCACTTAGAATTGTCAGAGTGCTCAGTGAAACCTGTTACTATGGGAGTTCTTATATTATTTTGCTTAAATGATGTAGCGTATACAGTAATTAGTTTCTTTGAAAATAACATGAGGCACAAAGGATAGTTTTCCCTGACCATTTCAACTATAAATTCTTAGGTCTTTTTGATTAACTGATACTATTTCACATTTTAAAATCATTTTTGAATCTTGAGATTTTCTTGGTTATGATTTTCTTTCTATTTTTGCATGATGTTATTTTGGTTCTGTTGCATTTTTGGTTTTGTTATTTTTATAAGGTCCTCAAATCCTGTAGAATGAAGCCTGAAAAATGTGCATGTGTGTGTATAAATATAATAATATTCATGTGCATATGTATAAATCCTTTACTTTTAAAAATTACAATACATACTTTAAAATATTCTTGAGTATAGAAATAGATAGAAAATGAGAATGTGTTGATATTCTGAGGCTTTAATTTCTGATCTTTAAATAGAGATACATGCTCTATGAATTTCTTACAAATTTCTGATTGTATTATTTATATTGTATTTATATTGTGCATGGCCACTATCCTGCTTGCAAATGAAAAAAATTTCACCTGCTGTATTCTTTTTATGTTTAAATGACCATAACATACAGAATTAGCATGGGAACTAATGTTTTTTTGTTAATTTATATCAAAACATTTTTATTATCCTAGAATTCTAGATAGAAAATACCCTATTCACTATTTTTAATTTTTACCCATTGAAATGAACAGAATTAGAATATGTAAAATTCTAGTCTATTTGTTTGATCTTGTTAATTTTCCTTTTTTTTTGTTTACTAGTAAGCCTGATACTTTGATTGCAAATGGAGAAGATACGACGTCTTCTGAAGAGGAAAAGGAAGATCAGAAGATAAACGTGAATGTCATGCATCAAGTAACAGACTCTGTTACTCCCAGCAATTGCTGTGAGGATGTTACAAATTCAGAACTGTTCAGTGGTCAAACGAGTAGTCAATTGAACTGTTCAGTGAATGGTTCAAATTCTTATCACAGTAATGAAGAAGAGGATGATGATGACGACGACGACGACGAAGATGATGATGATGGTGATGGAGATAATGAAAATGACCATGATACTTTAGGGGTTGGAGATAATTCTATACCAACAATATATTTTTCGCATACTGTTGAACCTAAGAGGGTTTGTATACTTTTAACTTTACCAACTTTGCATATAATTTGAACATTAAACATCATGTATGATATTCTTTAAAGGAACAGTATTAGCAGTGATTAATATTGTTGATAGTGTCACACAGAAAAACCATCTTTTGCTTCTTGTTCTCACCAATTCATTTAAAAAGAAAAAGGGGAAAAAAAAAACCCTAGATAGCCATATTGGTCTGTTGTTCTGTGAAGCCACAGTAGAATTTGAATTGTTTGGGGTCTGGAAGGGGATCAGATTTGAGTGGCAACTACTGTAACTCCCTCTATCCTTCATTCAGAGAGTTTTCTTAAGAATTCTAGAATTAATTATATTGTGAGTGTTTTGGTGTACTTAGGATGTTGAAAGTGACTGCATTACTTAAATTTTTAATTATACCAGGTTGTTTGTTCTTTGTGGGCATAAAATGAGTAGGAGCATCATGAGCAAAAAGAAAAGATTCAGGAGGAAGTGAAAGTTAGTTCCTTTTCTGACAAATAAATATAAACGTCTGTGGGTAATCATGACTTTAGAATTTTGGCACTTTAGAGCTGGGGCTACTGTAGAAATCTTCTCATACAGGATTTTTAAGCTTTTCTTTAGTATCAAAAGGCTTTTTCTTCCCTCTCTGCTTTTGGTAGAGTCCGCGTCTTTAAAACAGATCCAAGGGGCCTGCCCAGTGGTGCAGCGGTGAAGTGCTCACGTTCTGCCTCGACGGCCTGGGGTTCTCTGGTTCGGATCCCGGGTGCAGACATGGCACCATTTCGCCAGCCACGCTGTGGCAGGCGTCCCACATATAAAGCAGAGGAAGATGAGCACAGATGTTAGCTCAGGGCCAGTCTTCCTCGGCAAAAAGAGGAGGATTGGCAGCAGATGTTAGCTCAGGGCTAATCTTCCTCAAAAAAAGCATATCAGAGCAGGTTGGTTGTGGTGAGGAAGAATAGGCTACCTGTCCCTCACCCTCCCTCCTCCATGATGCTGCTCTGAGCAGCCACCGGGTGCTCCTCGTTTCCTTTGCTTTCTCAAGGAAACTCGAGGCCTAGGCCACTGTAGAGCTGGTTGGTAATAAGACAGGGACACCTCTGTCCCAGCTTACTGCTCTTTCACTACAACGGGCTCTGCGGGGATTGCCTCTGGCAGGGTTAAGGGCTATGGCATCAATCTTAAGGGTCTGTGATTATTATTAATGAAACATGTTTAAAACATACTTGATATTTCCTGGGCACCTCACATCATTCCTGCTGTAATATGAAGTGAAATAATTATGTGGCTTCTTTTATTTTCTAATACTTCAGACCAAAGGGAACATCTTGTGAATCCTTTGGAAAAAATTGACTGATTAGCCATAAAAAAAAGTTTGTTTTGTGATTTTTTTTTAGGCTTTAAATTTTTTATTTTCGTTTTGATAAAACAGGAGGAATAAATAATATTTGCAGAAATGTTATGAGGACGAGCTGTCATTAATGTGGAAAGTGCGGTATAAATGCCAAGTAGGGATAGAATAACATATTAATTCTCAACAGGGTTGGTTTTTATTTTTTAGTTTGGTTTCTAAAAATTAGAAGTATTTAAAAAATTCTGAATAGTTAAGCGTTAGGTAATATTGCTTCTATGACTTAAATTTTGTGTTCTTGCCAAATATTTCTTTTGGTTAATTGTATTCTTTGTTTTGAAATGCATGATTTAAGCCACAAATTTATATCAAAGTAGTGGGGTGATGTGAAAGCTTATAATAAATCTAGCATTAAGTTTAAATGTATTTTACTTTCTATACAATAATAAAGTCACTGAAGACTAGAATTGGTCATTAAAGAGGATGTAATATAATGCTGTAAAAGTGTGTTAAGGTAAGGACTTTTTAACCTTATCTGATAATGCACATCATTTCAGTGTCAAAAAATTTAAACTGCCTCTCTTACTATTATTTCTTTAATTATAGAGTTCATTTGTTTTAGTTTTGGCCTTGATTTAATATCTCAAAGGGATCTTAATTTTTTGCTGTGAAATTTTTAGGTCCGAATAAATACTGGAAAAAATACCACTTTAAAATTCAGTGAAAAGAAAGAAGAAGCCAAACGTAAAAGAAAAAACAACTCTGGTGGCGGCTCTCCTGCCCAAGAGCTGCCTGCGATCAGGACTCCTGCTGACATTTACAGGTGAGCCTGGCCGGAGCAGCCGACTCCTCCCATCCCTCTTTTGCAGCGAAGGTTCCCAGGAAAAGGTGGTCTGCGGCACAGAAGGCTCTCCCTGTGCGGAGAGCTGTTCTGATGGGGTTGGCTTAGTAGTTGAAAGGCTTTTGTAGGAGCTGCTGAGCCCCCACACCTTCCTAGTCCAGAGCAATTGGAATGTTGCATGATGTTTCTTCCCTGCCTTTGCCAGTGCTTTTAAAACATTTCCAATCCATCCAGTCAGAAGGGTTGTCTGTTAACTTTATAAATGAAAGTGTGTGTTTCCCGGGCTGGGGCAGTGCTTTCTTGCCATAGCTGTGGGGACGCGTGGCATACGGTTCCCCTTTCCACAGAGTGGGAGCGTTTGTTGTGGGGTGTGTTGAGAAAGCTGTCATTTGAAAATACCTGATGTTTTCATGACCCTTATTTGTAAATGGTGAAGCTTGCTAAATGTCTTTTAAGTAGGATTTTGGCCACTCAAGCTCTTGTCACCCAAAACATGCTTATAAATAAAGTGCTGTATTATATTAGACAAAAAAAGTCATCTTTTCCAAAATAGTGTAAAGTACATCATTTGAGGCTGTGGAATTAGTGTGATTGTGAAAATTTTAGATATAACTTTGAATAAAACATTTCAGATTAATTTCTCGAAAAGATTTCTAAAAGTGATAAAATTGTCCTCAGTTTATGAGTTACCTGATTGAGTTGTATTTCTTGGGTGTCAGAGTCTTTGTGGATGTCGTGAATGGAGAGTATGTCCCTCGCAAGTCGATCCTGAAGTCCCGCAGCAGAGAGAACAGCGTGTGCAGCGACACCAGTGAGAGCAGCACGGCTGACTTCGACGACAGGCGGGCACTTCTGAGGGGCATCAGCTGCGAAGAGGCCACTTGCAGTGATACTGGTGAGAGCATTCAGGAAGAGGAACAACCAGATCATCATCAAAGGCGACTTCTGCCCTCGTCAGGAACACCTGAGGTGTGTGTGTGTGTGTCTTTAACTCTTTCTTTCATGTAGCATCTTTGACCAGTTTCTGTGAGATAAAAAGATTCTGGTAGCTCTATTTCAAAGGGCCGTTGAATTCATTTTCCCTTTTCACATAGTAGCTTTTCAACTCCAAAAATTAACTTTAAAAGAGGCCCTCTTCTCTTTTAAAAATTGCAGCTGCTATATCGCCTAAGTATGGTCTATAAATCATTGATTGTATTGTCCTTAAATTATTTTATATAATTATTTATTGAAGTTAGTCAACTGCATAATAGCATTGTTTATCTTGTAGCTTCTTTAGTTTATACATATATTTAATCTCAGAAGTCATACAACCTAATTAAGTCTAAACTTCGTTTTTTTGATAATTTATAAAAAATTTAATAGTCACTAGCAAACACAATGTAGGTATTATGATATTAAAGTAGTTCAAGTATTTTTTTTGGTAAAAATATTTCCAGTCTTGAAGTTCTATTTCTGTGAAATAGGAATTTTAAAATATCTTAATTAGCACATGTTTTACATTTTTGGCTAGAAAATCATTTAGCAGCTTATTTTATTTTTTCCTTTTAAATAGACTTTATTTTTTAGAGCAGTTTTAGGTTCACAGCAAAACTGAAAGTACAGAGTCCCATATAACCCCTGTCCACCACACGCACACACAACCTCCCCCACTGTCGACATCCCTCACCAGAGAGGTACATTTGTTATAATTGATTAACCTGCGTTGACACATCATTATCACCCAAAGACCATAGTTTACATTAGAGTTTACTCTTGGTGTGGTACATTCTATGGGTTTGGACAAATGTATGAGGATATGTCCCCACCATTGTAGTATCATCGTGAATAGTTTCACTGCCTTAAAAGTCTCCTGTGCTCTGTTTATTCATCCCTCCCTACCCCCATCCCCTGGCAACCACTGACTTTTTTACTGCCTTTTCCAGAATGTCATATAGTTGGAATCCTAAAGTTTGTAACCTTTTCAGATTGGCTTCTTTCACTAAGTAATATGCATTTAAAGTTCTTGCATGTCTTTTCATGGCTTGATGGCATATTTTTTCCACAACCCCCAGTCCCTGGCGACTGCTTTTCTACTTTCCATTTCTGTGATGGTGAGTTTTTTCTTTTTTTAGATTCCACATATAAATGATGCCATACAGTATTTGTCTTTCTCTGCCATGCTTGTTTCACTTAGCATAATGCCCTCTAGTTTCATCCACATTGTCGCAAATGACAAGATTTCCTTCTTTTTTAAGGCTGAATAATATTCCATTATGTTTATATACTACATTTTCTTTATCCATTTATCTGTTAATTGACACTTAGATTGTTTCTGTACCTCAGCTATTGTGAATAATGCTAGCAGCTTATTTTAAATAAATTACCACTAAACCAGACTATAGTCATTTTATGATAGTTCAAATGGCAGATTATACTTTCTGTTTTACATGCCTTGATTGAGTTAAAGAAAAAAAATACGTACACTGTAGATAATTGTCTGAAGTCCTTCTATGTTTTGGCCTGTGCCAGTGAAATTTTTAACTTTATGTAAAAAGATATATAAAGATATATCTTTGGTTATATTTCTAACATTTTGTACACATTACTTTTGTTCCAGTTAAACATACAATTGACCCAATTAAGTCCAGCAAACATCCAGTTGAAATTAAAGAATTATTTTTTTGTGAAGCCTATGATTTCCATCATTGAATTAATTATATTGAAGTTTGAGGCGCTTATTTCTAGTGGTATCAGCACTTTCATTTGTCAGTTTCCACTGATCTCTTAAATAAAATTGAGGCGAGATCCAATGAAATACTCAAATAATTGTGTAAGTGAACACCATCTATGAGATGTCACCCTTGCTGAAACTGGACCTGAACTGTTGGCCAGCAGGCTCCATGGCCACCATAGGATGCTCGTTCATCAGCTGATGGTTGACCCCCGATAGCATTTTTTATTTTAGTGCATTATTTTTCATGGTCTAGACATAAATGGAATGTATGAAAGTTGAGGGCCTTTTATTAACACATTTCTGTTTAATCTCAGATAGAACATGTATTTCACATTTTGTTTTCTTGCATGTGTACTATAAAAATCTACTTATACTTGGTGGTGTAATTAAGATATATTTTAATGTTACTTGATGTCTCTGAACAATTTATATTTTGATGTTGGAGTTTTTGTCTGTTTTCTAAAAATCTTATGAATTCACTTTTAATGAAAAAAATGTGTAATTGACGAATACAAGATAAAGATTTTGTGGGCATTTTATTACCATAATTTGACTTTTGTCTTCTAGGCTTTTTCTGGAACTGTAATAGAAAAAGAATTTTTATCGCCCTCCTTAACACCACACCCAGCCATGGCTCATCCTGTGCTACCCACCATTCCAGAACGAAAAGAAGTTCTATCTGAAGTACCAGAAGAAACTACCAAGAGGGTTTCAAAGTTCAGAGCTGCCAGATTGCAGCAAAAAAACTAGAGCCTGCCTAGGAAATGGGAGTTTACGCCCCAAAACCTAGTTTTGCATTTCTTTAGAATATATATATAGCAAAACGTGTTACATGTAGTTTGAAATAAGGCATCATGAGTTTATTTGGCAGCAAGTTCTCTTACTCTCATCAGTGATATTAAAAAAAGTCAAAGTAAATGTTTGAATACTTTCATATCCAGCTGCTTGTGTTAATTCTCTGAATACTGTCAACACTCTTGTCTGAGTTTGCCATAGGATGCAGTGGGAGCATTTTGAAATATTTTTCAAAGAATACTGTTCATATGTATTGTTTTTGTGTTTCAAACGAAATGGAGGCAGTTTTGTACCAGCTGTGATGTTGTGCATACCATATGGACCATTTTAAACAAACTTTTAAAATTTCAAATAGATTCAACAATTATATTACTTGCTTTAGCATTTTAAGGGCACTTTAAAAGAATCTACTTCGTGTAGGTTTTACAGCTGGGTGGCTATTTAAAAAACCTCTCCCCTTTGACTGTCATTCTGTAATCTCTAAGGCAGAAAGCTACATGTACCCTATTGGAAAGTTTCTTTGCTTGGAAGAATGGTATTTTGTAAAACATTTTTTTCAAGTAAAAATTTTATGAAACTTGGTCTCTAAAATGTTGTGGACTTTATGATTCAGAATCGAATATAGAAATGTCTTTGATTCACATATATGCTACATGCACCACACAGTGGATCCTCGAATTGTTGTAAATCCATAGGCAATTTTTCTCCCCTAGTGTGTGCAGTTGTAACTGGCACCATATTTTTGGAGAGAAGGAAAGGTGGTCTATATGCTAAAAAAAATTTGAATTTTTAACTAAGAAATTTTATGTTTTCATCTTCCCAACATTTTCGTTCTCTAAGGCTACTTTCCTACTAGTAAATAGTTGAAATCATGTTACTTGTGGCAAAACTCCTTAAAATAAAGAGAGTTTATTCTAATGTTGAAAATTATACTGCAAGTGTTAATCATTAGCTTGATGCGTGCTAAAAGGTAGCTTTTAAAGAGCATTCTGCATTAGTACTAAAATAAGCCATCAATGCCAGTCCACCCTCTATTCGTGGCTAAATACTTAAAGGTTATTTATAGCTTCTTTAATGAATTCTTGCTTAAACAAAGTGAAATTATGTCCTAGAAAAGTAGAAGCTATTTTAACTAGAACAGCACACTAAAAGTTTTATGAATATGTATTTTAGTAATAAGGAGGTGAGCCTGAATCCCCACAAGTTAATGGATAATTCAGAAAAGAGGACTGATTTTGAACCATCTCCTAAAAATGAAGATTTGTTCTTTAGTAAACTTTTATCAACTGTGCATATATTTTTAGTTAAAAACTGTTTTTCTCTCAGCCCATCCCTCACAGAAAACAAACCCTAGCAAACCAAGAATACAGTTCTATCCACACCAAGGAGCCCTCGACTCCAGCTGCTGTTCCAGGGAGCCTTTCTGTGCCAGATTTCCCTGAGACACACTTTGTGTGAGACTGTCGTGGTATTGTTGACAGACGTGTATTTCAAGAGTACTGTCATTAAATCCTTTCTCATGTCCATGAACTTCGCTCTGAGCCTGTCGTTGTTAATGTAGTTTATGTTACATCTTGCAGATAGATGTTGCCTCGTAGAACAAGATGGTGGTAGAAGCAAAGATGAAGTGTTAGAGAACATGTTCCTGTGTTCTGAAGCCCAGATGAAGTAGTGTTGCCCCATTTGATAGCTTCAGTCTTAGAGGTTCAAATTGGAACTTAACATTACAGCTTTATTTTTCGTATTAAATTCAAGTTTCAATGGGATAAAATGAAGCTGATCTTAAAGTGTTCTCTTTTAAACTATTGTAAAATAGAACAGCAGACTGTAGATTTTTTTTAACTTTTTATTTTGAACTAATTTTTGACTACAGAAAAATTGCAAAAAATAATAGAGTTCCCATATACCCCCTCATCCAACTTTCCCTGATATTATAACATCTTGTATAACCATAATACAGTTATTAAAACCAGGAAATGTACATTGCTGTGATACTCTTAACTAATCTACAGCTCTTTCTTGAATTTTGCCAGCATTTTCACTAAGTGTTCTTTGTCTGTTTCGGCATCCTGCCTTGCATTTGTTGTTGTTGCTTAGTCTCCTCCCATCTCTGACAGCTCCTTATTTTTCCTTGTCTTTTATGATTTTGACATCTTTGAAGAGTACTAGTCAGGTATTTTGTAGGATGATCCTCAGTTTGGTTTTGTCTGATGTACTCCCGTGATTAGGATGAGATTTTGCATTTTTGGCAAGAATCCCAGAGAACTGCATCATATCAAGAGGTTCCTATCAGAGATGCATTCTAGTATGTTGTTTCAAGAGATCCATAATTCTGATATGTTAACCTCGATCACTTGGGTGAAATGATGTCTGCCAGGTTTCTCCACTATCAAGTTACTCTCTTTTCATTTGTAGTTAATGAATACCTTGGAGGAAGGACCTTGAGGCAGATAGTTTTTTTCTTCTCAAATTTAAGCCCACTAATTTTTGCATTTGGTGGATATTGTCTGCAACAGTTACTACTGTAGTATTTGCCTAATGGTGGTTTTCTGTTTTGCCCATCTGCATTTATTTCTTAGAATTCTTTTGTAATGTAAAACCGTGCCAGGGGCCTGCCCCACGGTGTAGTGGTTGAGTTTGGCACGCTCCACTTCGGTGGCCCTGGTTTGTAGGTTCGGATCCAAGCCACAGACCTACACTACTTGTCAGCCATGCTCTGGTGGTGGCCCACATACAAGACAGAGGAAGATTGGCACAGATGTCAGCTCAGGGCTAATCTTCACACACAAAAAAGGCTGTGCCATTCCCCCTGCCCACCTCGTTTATTATTTTATTTGAGTATATCAGTGTGGACTCACATAGTTAATTTATTCTCTAGGTCAAAATCCAGTTATTGTGTGGTTTGCTCAAGCTGTTCCACCTTTGACCATTAAGAGCTACTTTGAGTTGCCTCCTGAATTCTTTCAACAAGTACCCATCCTTTGTTGAACACACTTTCTTTCTGACGCCATGAAATATTACAGGTTTACCTTGTGTTTTTCCTGCCCCAGCCTTGGAATCATCACTTCTCCAAAGAGCCCTTCTTCCTTTTATTGTAGAATGGTGTTTAAAAACCAACGTCTTATGTAGGCGTGTGTATTGCCTTTGGGGTGTCACTGCCCTTAGGCCTTCTCAGCAGGTGGAGCTGGGAAACTACGTGTCCTACCCAGAGCACTCGTCTGTATTTATGTGTTTGTTGATGTATATTTAAAAAGACCACTTTGTGCTGATACTTCTGGTTCCAGTCTAACACCACAGGATTCATTTACATTTTTCCTTATTTGTGAGTTCTTTCTCCGAGAGTGAGAAACCTGGCTCTTATCTACAATGTATTTACTTATTTTTTTTTAAAATCTAGTACACATAAAAGTAATTTCAGAGTACTAATCCTGACCCCCAGGAGAAAGATTTATTAACTGTGTAGCGCTATGTACGTTCAGTTCTTTTTCTTTAGCCTGTAGCAGTCAAGAAACTTTTCCAAAGTTCTTTTCTTTCCCACCCCCTTCATGGTTGTTACTCATTTGTAATATGGTTATGTTCATTTGTTACTGTTTGTGTTCCATTTTGGATTCTGTCTGCATCCTGCGTGGTTTTAATGGTTTCTTAGGGGGTAGGTGAAGGGTATGTGAAACATTAATGTGGTTCTGAGAGTCACAGCTGTGTAAAAACACAGAGAAGTGAACACAGAGAAGTGTCACTTCCTCCTTGTTTCCTGCTGCCCTACTCCCATTCCCATCTTCTGTCTACCACTGCTCCACCTGCCCAGTGTCAGTAACCAATTATTATTTTCTGGTTTAACCTCTTTCTATTTCTTTTGTGCAAATAGATACATGTGTATTTTCTTATATTCCTTTCTTTCTTAGATGATGGATGACATGTAACATCTCCATTGCACTTTAATTTTTTCCAATTGTTAGTATGCCCTGGTGATTGTTCTAAATCAGTTTATGGAGATGTTCCTCTTTTTATGTTTTATTTTTTTACAGAGAGAGACAGTATTCACTTGTGTAGATGTAGCATAGTTTATTCAGCCGCTTTCCTATTTATGGGCATTTAGGTTTCCGATATTTTGCAATTACAAATGATACAATGAATAACTTTGGTGTATATGTATTTTTGTATCGTTGGACGCGTATCTTCAGGGTAGATTCTTAGAGGTAGGATTAGTGGGCCATCTGCACAATTAGCATATATTTCTTTTAAAGGCAGTAAAGTCTTTTTAAATGTATTTGTTCTCTTATTAAGGACGTGGTTTAACTCATACTTGTGTATCTACATTTCATTGATGATTTTTTGTTAATGACTTTGGGACATTATAGTGTCCTAAACGGACTTCAAAATCATTAAGGAATATTAAGTATAGTGATTATGTTCATTTTGCTATACTGGGATTTTTTTCTTTTTTAGAAATTGCTCGTGCATGTGAGAGCTTTCCATTCATTGGAGTATTTCCAATTTATAAAATAAAGATACTTCATTGTATTAGAATTTATTTTTCTCCTCCCTAAGAAACAGCTTTTCGGGGATGCTAATCTTTATCTGTGTATTCTTTTGGTGAGTGGCGTATAGGCTTTCAATTAAATGCCTGTTAGATGAATTCCTCTACTACAATAAATATTTATAGTTATGTTTAATCCTTGGGTCAGTATTGGCAAGTTTTTTTTTTAAGATTTTATTATTTCCTTTTTTCTCCCCAACACCCCCGGTACATAGTTGTATATTCTTCGTTGTGGATTCTTCTAGTTGTGGTATGTGGGACGCTGCCTCAGCGTGGTTTGATGAGCAGTGCCATGTTCGCGCCCAGGATTCGAACCAACGAAACACTGGGCCGCCTGCAGCGGAGCGCACGAACTTAACCACTCGGCCACGGGGCCAGCCCCCAGTATTGGCAAGTTTTTACATTTTAAAATGGTTTCTCAGTTATTTAAATTTCATTTTAGGGGGACTTCATTTAGAATATGAAGTTTTTGCAGTTCCACTAATAACCAATGAATCATAAAGATTTAAATAATATTTTTGAGTGCTTACTATGTGTTAAGCATTTTCTATGTACTTTATATGGATTATTTCATTTGATGCTCACAGCAACCCACTGAGGTAGGTACTGTTTTTTCAATCTTCTACACCCCCCACCCCCCATTTTAGAGATGATGAAACAAACTCAGAGGTGAAGCACCATTTTAAGCCACACGACTGGAGGCATGCCTTGTTTTATTGCACTTTGCTTTATTGTACTTCTCAGATACTGTTTTTTTTTTTGCAAGACCCTCCATTAGCAAAAAGATTGACTTGCTGAAGGCTCAGATGATGGTTAGCACTTTTTGGCAATAAAATATTTTTAAATTAAGGTATATGCATTGTTTTTTGATGCGCACTTAATAGGCTATAGTATAAACATAACTTTCATATGCACTGCCAAACCAGAAAATTCGTATGACTTGCTTGTTGTGATACTCACTTTATTGCTGTGGTCTGGAACGCAACCTCCGTGTCTCCGATGTAAGCCTGCGTTAAGTGGTGGAATTGTGATTTACACCCAGGCAACCTTGCTGCAGAATCAGCACCCTTAATACATTTTACCTGACATTTAAATTGTCCTCTAAACAAGAGCACATAGCTAGTAAGGAAATGTGTGATATGTATAATGTCTTTATAATCTTGCATATTCATCATGAGGTCACCTTTTTAAAAACCTGAATTGGAAACTTTTTTTTTTTTTATCAAAGATTGGCACCTGAGCTGACAAGTGTTGCCAATCTTCTCTCCCCGTCCTCCCCGCCCCACCAAATCCCCTGAGTACACAGTTGCCTATTGTAGTTGTGTGTCCCTCTAGTCGTGGCATGGGGCAAGCCGCTTTAGCATGGCCTGATGAGCAATGCCATGTCTGTGCCCAGGATCTGAACCGGCGAAACCCTGGGCCACCAAAGCAGAGCTCACGAACTTAACCACTCCGCCACGGGCCAGCTTCCGCTGTTTTGTTTCTTAAACCTTCCCCATTAAGAGAATTCATTTTGACTTGGAATGGAGGTGGAGTTTCAGTGATGGTGTTTGGCTGTATGCATGAAAGAAAGGAGTGTGCGGATGGAGAGGAATACAAGAGAAGTATCAGTGTAACAGTGTTCCATTGCAAAACTACTCATTTTTTAATATGAATTTAGGCTTTATGTGCATTTAAGTGTAGAATTGGTATGTTCATAATCCAGTGGCCTCATAGTGACCCTCTGTATCCCTAATGATGTTGTTTTTGCCTTGAACCATCTTGAATAACATTAATATACTAGTTAAGTATTTTCCTGGTATAACAATTTCCATCTTGTGTGTGTGTGATATCTTTCTGTGTTGTCTTTATGTGTGTGCATACATGTACATAATAGTAATATTGTTACTGTAAGCCGTTTTTGAACTACTCTGACAGTGTCCTGTGACTGTCAGGTTTAGTCTAATTTATTGTAGTTACTCTTATCGGGACTTCTTCTGTTTTGGGCATTTTG